AATAAAAATTTTTTTTTTTTTTTCTTTTTTTTTTTTTGCCCCAATTGATTCATTCACATAGTTTTCCTACCAAAAATTGTAAAAGAAATGAAAAAAAAAAAAAAAATTTACATGACCCAGATATATATATACATATATATACATATATATATATATATATATCACCTGAGTCACTCGGCAGAACCTCCACGCTCCACGCCTCACTCGCCGTCTCTGAGATGGTAGAACCGTACGGGTCCAGAAGCACCGGCAGACACAGCATGCTGCACAATGCGTTCTCCGCAGCAGCCCCTGAGGAGAACACACATAAGAAACACATGGGTACGAGGCGTCTGTGATCTAAAGCAGCAGGTAGGCGGACTGCGACAGGAATGGCCAAAGGTTAATTGCCGCCTCCCTCCTCACACAAAGACCAAGACACGCGCACACAGTATCATCAGGGTTGTGGCTTTGAGGTGTGGATCGAGCCGAGCATCACTCATAACCTCATTACTCTCTCAACCAGCATCCCACACAACGCCTCCTCTCTCTGCAACACTCTCAACAGGAGCTAACGCCTAACAAGGCAGAAGAATGGAGATGGAGAGCAGGAAAGGGAGGGGGAGAATGAACAGCTAGCATGTCGGGGTGGGGGGGTGTTTGCATGTGTGCGGGGGCGTTTGATGGTTGGGCGGAAGCGGAGATCATGAGCGCTCTGTATGAAGCTCTCCACAGGTCACGTCTCCCCGCATACGCACGCGCACAAGGGCAGGTTTGGTGGGCCTGCAGGAGAGCTTTCCCCCGCTGGCCCTGTTTACAGTGAGTGAGGCAGGGGCTCTGGGCCGCCCGTCTTTCAGGTGCATGATTAAATGAGTGGCACCCGCAGTAGTGAAACAATTAGAATTTCTGCCTCATTATCATGGTAATCTTATCAGTGGGATAATGAGGTATTAATGGATATTTAATGTGTATCTCATAACCCAATCCCTCGGAGAAAACACATAAGGAAATCGCTGTAAATTCACTTAATGATGGAAAAGTCCCCCAACGCCATATTCCGAGGAATGAAAAATGGAGGATGCAAATGAGAAGGAACCAAGGTCAATAAGACTGCAGGGACTGTGTGAATGTCAGAAAGAAGGAGGCGAGAAAGAGAGAGAGCACGGAAGACGAGGGAACAGAGTGAAAAAAAGGGGTGGAGGGAGCGAGACTGACTGAAAGACACGGAGAGAAGGATGGAATGTGATGGGATGAAATGAGAAGCAGTTTTAGGTTGTTCTGCACATCACTCTGTTACTGTACAGAAATTTTACAAACACTGGACATTTTTGAGTCAATAAGCCTAACCCTATAGTTTTGTCTCAATTCAGGAAAGCATGACTTAAAGACAATGTATTTAGCCAAGACTGGGAGTTGGAACAAATAAATTACCCTATATTTTGGAAACTGGTTTCAGATTTTGTCTAAATGAGCATTATTGCAATTATACAATAGTAATCTAATTTGAAAGAATAAAACAATTTATAGAAAATTGTTCCATTTTACCATAATAATAGCAATAATATACAGTTTTAAGTTTATTTATCACTATTCAATATTTTAATGGCATGTACATACATGTATATAAAAATACATATACGTAAATACATACACATATATACATACTAGGGCTGCACGATAAATCCGAGATTAACCCCTTAGGTATCGAAATTTGGTACCGAACGACGAGACGTTTTTCGATACTCGATGGTATCGAGGCAATTCGGTCGGTGCCTAAAAAGTATCGAACTCGATACCCAGCCCTACTTATGACTGCAGCCATGACTGCAAGATTTGCAGAAATACACTCTTACCTGCTATCTCCTGCAGTCGGTCCTCATCCATGTTGGGATCAAAGTCACTGCCCAGGACGTCAGTGCTCCAAGTCTCACTGACAGTCTCAGAAATGTCTCTGTCTTCTGTTAGTCCCATCATGTCCCGAATCTCGAATTTACGCAGCTTATCGTCCAAATTATCCTGTGTAGTGGCTAAATAAAGAACAAATCAGAGTAATGATCAAGCTACACCACTCTAACAAAAAAAATTCTACAAGAAATCATATTTAATTTGTTGCTGGAGTCACCTTGTTCATGTTCCAGTAGCTGCAAGGCCTCTGCACCATTGCTACCAGACGGCCCTGGTCCTCCTTCTGACACAGACTCTACCTCCAAGTCCAAAGAAGAAACTGAATTGGAGCGGTTAGAAGGCCCTGCAGACAGACCACATTTATTCATATTAACTAATGTATTACTACTGTATTTAGTTACTTTGGTGGTGTGTTTAGCCAACAGAACACTTACTGCAACAACAGTCAACAAAACAAAACAAAACCGTTTCTGTCCATGTCTGGGTGGGTTGTGTGAAAAAAAAAATAAAAAATAAAAAATAAAATAAAATATATATATAAAAAAAAATTATAATAAGAGAAATAAACTACCAATCTTTTACATCTCAATTTATTACAAAAGGTAATAATGGAAAAGAATATGTCAGGTGGATATGGAAGAGTTTATGTACAACAGAGTCATCTGCTGGTTGTCTGGTGAAAACACACCCTCAGAAATGCCCTCCAGGTTGTCACTGCAGAGTGAGAAGCGCAGCGTTTTATCAGGTTTGCCGTGCAGTTTGGTGTCATCAACAGGGGCGTCTCCTTGTCCACCATCTCCAAGATGCAGTGTCAGAACCTACATACAGACACAGCAGTCTCTTACCAATATCACTATACTAGTTACAGTGGGGGAAATATTTATTTGATCCCTTGCTGATTTTGTAAGTTTGCCCACAAAAATGAAGGGTCTGTAATTTTTATGGTAGGTTTATCTTAACGTATAGAGACAGAATATCAACCAAAAAATCCAGAAAAAACATTATATAAAGGTTAGAAATTGATTTGCATTTCAGTGAGTGAAATAAGTATTTGATCCCCAAGCAAAGTCTGTACATGTGCCTTCTTGAGCAGGGGGACCTTGCGGGCGCTGCAGGATTTCAGTCCATTGCGGCGTAGTGTGTTACCAATTGTGGTCCCAACTGCCTTAAGATGATTAACAAGCTACTCCCGTGTAGTTCAGGGCTGATCCCTCACCTTTCTCATGATCATCCTTAGCCCATGAGGCAAGATCTTGCACAGAGCTCCAAACTGAGGCCGATTAATGGTTATTTTGTATTTCTTTAATTTCCGAATAATCGCACCAACAGTTGTCTCCTTCTCACCAAGCTTCATGCTGATGGTCTTGCAGCCTTGTGCAGATTTACAATCTTGTCTCTGACATCCTTTGAAAGCTCTTTGATCTTGCCCATGGTGGTGGGAGAGGTTGGAATGGAAGATACAGATTGTGTGGACAGGTGTCTTTTATACACCTAGCGAGCTGACATTAGGAGTAACTTCTTAAAGTGACAGGACTAATCGGTGTTCCACATGGGCACATAACCAATCTGTGGGAGCCAGAATTCTTGCTGGCTGGTAGGGGATCAAATACTTATTTCACTCATATTTAATGTGTTTTTTCTGGATTTTTTTGGTCTGTATTCTGTCTCTACCCATTAAAATAAACCTACCTTAAAAATGAAAGACCCTTCATTTCTTTGTAAGTTGGCAAACTTATAAAATCAGCAGGGGATCAAATAAATATTTTCCCCACTGTAACTACTACAATTGGACCTTGACAGCATGACATTGACTAAAGATTCTGACCTCGTTTTCAGACATCATTCCAGGTACGGTCTGCAGTGAGGTTCCCAGCGAGATGACTAGCACTTCTTCAGGTGTGACCTCCTGCAGAGACTCCTGAGAGCTGGCTTCAGTCTCTCCCTCCTGGGCCATGCTGGAACGGCTTCGGCTGCGAGAGCCTGCTGGGTGAGGAAGAGTGGGAAAGGAGACAAACTGTAAGGGTTAGAGGAACAGCAAGGCTGCTAAGTGTGTTAGCAAAAGCCTGCATGAGCACTAGCATTCACAAATGCTCAAAAACATCTTTAAATGGCAACAATAACATGTGAGTGAAGAAACTTTTTAAAGGAACTGTGGCAAAATATATTTTACAGATAACACTTTAAAACAATGAACACATGTTCCAGACTGCTTAAAGACAAATTGGACTGCCCCTTTTTATGGCTGATGAAACCTTTTTTTGCAAGATTCTAATGTCTAATGTATTCTAATGTAGAAAACAGCTAGTGTGGAATATGGTGGAAAAGGTGCAGGCACATCTTACAAAATTTATGACACTGAAATGTCTTGCTTGTTTCACTTCAACTACATTTATATTGCCAGGGGCAAGTAATGCAGCCCAGATATGGTACAGCGAGAAGCAAAATGCATAGCAGGGACACACACGGCAGACACACAGCAAGTGCGGAAAAAGCATGGCTGAAGCGGTGAGAGGTACATGTTGGTCACGGCAGTCTGTCAGGGTTACCCACCAAATGGGGTTACTAAGGGTATATGAGCAGACAGGGCAGTGGCAGAGGGCTCCCAACACGTTATGGCAGCCAACTGTTGTCCTGAAGATCATTGGCAGCAAGGCAAGAAAAAGGGTGGAAGAGACAGAAGGGGGAAGTCAGAGAGTTGGTGGATAAGATAAACAGTGTGTAAAAGATCAGTAAATGAGTGTAAGAACAAACAGTAGTTAATTAATAGAAGACCACTAACTAGTGTCCATGTCTGGGTGAGTTGTAAAAAGGAGATATTAGCTCTGTTCCAGCATCCTTATGACTCTCTATTCCTAAGCCTCCCATGCTCAATATATTTCAATATATTTTGAATAGATTAACATGTAGCTAAGCTAACAATGCTATGCTCCATGCAGGAAAAAAAACAACGCACAGATATAATGGGCAAAATCATAAATTAAAAAAATATTTATATTACTGAATTACTTTGATTCAACCTTTTTAATACCGAATGAAATATTTTTTTATATTATTTTAAATCAACATTTCTTTGACCTAATCAATCATCTTGGACTTATTTTTTTCTCTAAGCTCATTTTAAGATTGCTGTCTCTGTGAAAGATACATGGGATGCTAGCTAAGATTTTTTGGTGAATTCTAAAAAATATTGTTGTTATTATTATTATTATTATCATCATCATCCTATCTAATAATAAGAAAAGCAACAAATAGTAGCAGTATTATCTTACATATCTTAGTAGTAGTAGTAGTAGTAGTATTTAACAATCTTATATATAAATAATAATTAGTAGCAGTTTTATTTATTTATGTTTTAATGCCATATCAGCAACAATGGCTATATTCATGCCAACATCAACAGTAACATTCAATACATAATTTTAATTAGTAGTAGTAGTAGCATTATCTTATAACAATAATATTAAGTGACAATAATAAATTATTATTGCCATCCATTCTTAAATAAAATATTTTTATTATTATTATTATTATTACTACTACTACATCATCTATTTAAAAATCCCAAGTGTGCATCCTCAACTACACAATCATATGAACAACCAGTAACTAACAACACGGATTTAAGTTTCACATCCGTAGAGCACAAAACTTACTTTCAATATGAACATCACTGAAAGCAATGATACTTGCAGTTCAATAAGTGAGTCAGATGTTGATTCAGTACCCTTCTTGACTGACTCAGTAGGTTCATTCAGTGAATTCAATTTGATTCTTTTTGAACAATTTCAAAGAACCAGAATAAAGAGTCATTTATTCTTGTATCAGAATACACTGGACTGCACTTTCTATAAATCAGAGGGTTAGTCTCCAAAGAATCTACAGCAATCAACATGCAGTATATTTAATGTAGAAGGAATACCAATAGGGAGTCTGTTCTTCTTGTTGGCGGGTGTGGTAGTTGGGGAGAGCTGGGGTGTGTTAGAAGGTGTGAGCTCCAGGCTGTTGCTCTTTGTCGTGCGGGACTGAGGTACATTGGCTATTAGGGTTTCCAGAGCCAGGTGGTCTTCTTCTCTGAGCTGATCTCCTGCAGTGACACTACGCACAAAGTCCTCCTGAACAGAAATGAGGTTAAAGACATTTCTTTTTTCTTTGGCACAAACACGCTATCAAACAATCACTCCAAGTTGATATCCTGTTAAATAAGGCCTGCAAAGATGTACAATAAGCTTTCTTTATGTATTCAGGTAATTTTTTAACTCATTCTTAATCCGTGATGGTAATTAAAGCAGGTGGGCCTAATTATTCAGCTATCATCATTAGTGAATTTCAAACAGTGAGTCTAATGCAATAACAACATAGGAGTCGGGCTAATTGGCTCTGTAAATGACAGTGCGATGATGAGCATCTTGCTGCACATGCTGAGAAGAAAAACACAGGGAAACGGAGGGTTACTGGCTCTTGGCAGTGTTGGGCAGGAAGAGTTAAAGCATTAGGACTGTAAAGGTATGCAGTATGACTGTTCCTGCTATATTAGTGGGACGGGTTTTGGCATGCTCTGTTGAGGTTCGAAAGAGGGTGAGGTAGACGAGTCATTTTTCATTGATCTGAATCTTCTGTAAAAGCTGAGTTGCTGAGTACAGTAAAAGCACTGAGATATGTTTTGATTAGGGCTGTCAAATGATTAAAGTGATTATTCGTGTTTAATTACATCACACTGTGATTAAATTAACTGCAAGTTATTACATATCAATATTACATAAAAGCTCTCAAATGAAGAAAATGCAATGCTCTACGCATCTGCTACAATAATCTAATGTCAATGTTTAGAAGTCAATAAATTGTTTGCTTTTTTTCCATATTAGCATAAGCCTGTCACAGGCCTACAGTCCACAGTAATCCATTGTGCAATCAATCTGTCTTAGTGTTAGTCTTAGTGTTTTTGTGTACTTATTCACATGCAGGTCAGAGGACATGATTAAACGTGTTCATTTTAGTATCACATTAGATTTTCTATAATTGTACTAAAATACAATTTAATTGGACAGTCCTAGTTTACTGAAGGTAGACTAGTTTGTGAATATGACAATGTTTAGGACATCCCACTCTCTGCTAAACTAAACAGATTCATTTGAATAGAACTGTACAGAAAATGATCAAACTATAAACATTTTCATAAAGACTTAACATTTCAGGCAGGAAAAGGATGTGAAACTGCAAAGGAATTCTTATATAAGTCATAGTGCAACTTATTACAAAACTGCAGACCAATATTTTAGACGGATGTGATTTCACGGTGACCACGTGAACAGCCCAAAGCTCATTTGTACTTTTAATGACGTAATCATAAAAATCAGATGAAGTTGACTTCCTTCCACAAATCTCTTTCTTCACTGCATTACATACCAGAGCTAAAAGCTGATTATGAGTCATGTAAACCACCGTCCGCGTAAGGCCCTCCAGTAAATTCATTGACGACATCGGTGGAGTCTCGACAGCTCTTCCACCAATGACGATGTCCAAAAAGGCAGCAACACACATCTAACAAGACAAAAAAGCTGCAATGAGTTAATCCACAAAAAGAGTGTTGGGACATGTTAATGAACCATGTAACATTCCCTAGTCATGATTGGAATAGCGTACTACCATCGTACTACTCATACTATTTGCACAATGTACTTTGTGCAGTATGTTAATATTTTGTATCTATGGAATACCCAGATGATATTTACTAAAATATGATTTAACTTTTAAAATAAAGGACGTTTATTTTGTGGGCAATTTGTATTGAGAATCATGAAATTTCACTGTAGTTGGTTGGTTTCTGCTTCTGAGATGTTGCTAAAGTGAGATTTAGGAAACTGGCCAGTGTGCAATACGCCAATAGCCTATGTTCGTCTTCATATAGCAACAAAATGAGAAGGACAATATAGATGAGAAAGACAATCAGAAACAAAGAAGCTTTATAATTCTGGGTTTGTCTCTTACCTTATCAAACTTGGATAAACTGCTTTTACGTCGAGGATCTCCATCATCTGCATCAGACATTGCTAACTGCTGCAACAACTGCCCCACCTAAAACATCAAATTAGGTTTTATTTTTTAGAATATATTAATATCACAGACAGACATAAACCACACTTAATATTTGAGTCAGAAAAAGTGTTGTATTGAATTATGGCTGGATGTCTTTCTATAGTGTCGCCTGTTTATAAGTTTATTTAGTGTCGCCTTATTATAATTTGGTTATTTTAATTAATTAACATTTGACTCACTGAACTGCAAGTCATAATTTTCATCCATGTTTGACTTCAGAATCAGAACTTGAAGTGAACTGAAAACTGTACTCTGCTCTGTACATAACCCTCTATGTATCCTTTTATGAACAAATTTTGTGGGACTTAAATTAAAATGACAAAATTACTGACTGGTTATTCATGCAACAATTGTAGGCTTAGTTCAATAAAAAAAATATTGTTTTGATAAATATGATTTTTTTTTATGCTAATCATTTAAATACAAAAAAAAATCTGTAAATTCTAATTTGCAAATATTGTCATACTCTCAGCATTTTAAACCTAGCTGACCTCATTACAGTTGTTTTGTAATATACTGGTAATGATGCAACACCATTATTCTCTACCTGCATGAGGTTGAAACGTGCCACCTCATTGATGGGTGCATCGGAGATGATGCCATACTGTTCAGGGTTGACGATGGCTGGACAGATGAAGCATGTGAGCAGCAAGTCGGTGCACATCGTCCTCACCTCCCCGACCTCTAACCTTTCCACACGTGCCAGCGTCGTATACATCTGAGACACAATCCAGCGCAGGCTCTGTGGGAAGCAATAGGTGTTCTGCTTCAGGTAGCCGATAAAGGTGTTGACCAGGGCCACCAGCTTGGCTTCGTTGGCCTCCACCGCTGCCTGAACTTTTCTGCGGTATTCATCTGTGCCTTTCTCCCCAAACAGGCGCTCCTGCTGGGCCGGGGTAAACCGTTCTATCAGTTTGGCTGGATCTGTCTCTAGATGGTCCTCATCCTCCACCAGCAATTGCATGATGGGCTCGTGGAGGGTTGCAGTGAGGAAAAGCTTAGCTGAATACAGGCCCTCGGTGAAGAGTTTGAAGAGGATGCTGAAGGCACACGTGCCTCGCCGTAACAGACGACGAGGGTTGTCACTGTCCTTCAGCTCAAATTCCACCAAATAACGTAGCACCTGGACAGAGTAGGACAGTACAAAAGAAAAGAGTTATATGTGGTATAAATATCTAATCCTTAACAAATAAAATTAAAAATAAATAAATATATATAAAATAAAAAAAGTGTAATGAATAAAACATATTAAATAAATATTTTATATAATAATAAATAGGGATGTAATGATTAACCGTGAGCCGGTTGAAAATCGATTTAAATATGTGACGATTCAAATCGGTTGAGATGCTAAACAAATCGCGATTCAGTATGTGTGAGGGGAACTTACTGTCTTTCGATGGTATTTTTTCTTTTCCTCTTGCCTCTGTATGCGAACGAAATTATACAATGTAGTTTAGATTAAAAACTGCTCATGTTGCATGTATGCAGCATCTTTGGTTGGATCATGATTAAAATGCAGTGGTTGCCTCTAATTTTAATTGGAAAGAGCACAGACAAAGCCTTAGTTTGTTTATATGGAGATATTTTTTTTATTTTCTTATTTATTTGATTTGGGGCTTGTTTTAAAAAAAAAAAAAATAGTTTTGTTATTTACATTTACATTATATTTAAATGTTGTTATTTAGCAAACGCTTTTATCCAAAGCGTCTAACAAATGAGGACAATAGAAGCAATCAAAACCAACAAAAGAGCAATAAT